ACCAGAGGAATGTCTATCTGTGTTTCATTGACTATGCAAAGGCATTTGACTGTGTAGATCATAACAAACTGTGGCTGACTCTGAGAAGAAGATGGTGAAGTTAGAAGTAGGAAAGGTAGAACAGGTGGTACAAAAACCATGAGTTCAGTTGAGGACTGCTTCCAGGTGATGCCTCTAGTATACTCAAGTCAGGATAGTCCATCAAAGGTAGGTCATGCTCATGGCCTCTGGTTCTTCCAGTCTTTTCCCATATCTCACCTGCCTTTGATGGGTACTCCCTTCTAAGGAGAGCAAGTTTAAAACTGGGATTTTACTCCTTTACAACCACTTTTGCTGGCATAGCTCTTGAATTCTTTAATGTGAATTTTTTAAAATCTTTTTCATAAATACCAACGTAGTTCTCTGTTTTGAAGAATTCTTCCCTTTTTCTTCTTGGCTGACTTTATGCACTCCTTGCTTTGTATTCTTATAACTTGAGGAAGTTATAATGTGGCACTGTCTTTTTTCCCCCTCAGATTTGTGACCTAGAAGGAAATCTTGGATTTCATCTGTGCTCTGAGTGCTGGCCAGAATCCAGCTTCATGTCTGCGTGCACGAGCAGCAGTTTGCCATGGAGAGCTTGGGGTTGCAGGCGGTGACGCTCAGTGATGGGACGACAACCTACATCCAGCAAACCATCAAAGGTAGGGTGCTTCCAGGGACCTGGGAACTCTGCCCACCAGCCTCTGGAGGGGGTGCCCCCTCAGTATGTCAGCTCCACTCTACCCTCCTGCCCACCTGCCTCTTACCCACTGTAACTTGGCTGAGCTTGAATGTGATGCTTAATTAATAGGGAATCTTTTAACATAGAATACCATCCAGGTAAGCTAGAAAATCAGATATTCACAACCATTGAACCATGGCCTCTCAAAGGCAGCATTCCTTATATGTAGCAAATAGTTACTATTTCTGGGATGAATAAGCCTAGTGCTAGTTATGACTTCCTGCTCTCTAAGTATTCCCTTGGAAGTACAGTTTCTCTATTTTCTAGAAGAAGTTCATCATAATTTAAGATTAAATATCAGATAGTGTCTACCGGGTATCTTCTGTGTGCAAAAAAGTGTTTTAGATGGTGACATCCAAATAAAGCTCTCATGCCTTAATCCCCACCAGGTTGCCAGTTTTACCAACTAGAAGTACAGAGTGTATGAGTTATATGTGAATTTCAGATAGACAATAATTTTTTAGTAAAAAAAGTGTTCTATACATTGCATACAATGTTGTTAGTTGCCATCAAGTTACCTCCAATCTTGATGATCTTATGCACAACAGAACAAGACTTTGACTAATTCTCCACATCTTTGTAATTGTCAATGTCTGTTAGACACCTTTACATGGCTAAATATAGAATAAAATAAGAAATAGTAACTTACTACTAAAAAGACATTCACTGTTTATCTGTAATTCATTATTTCATTGAGTATCTTCTATTTTTTCTGGCACTCCTGTAACCCCTACTCTGAAAGAACTTTTAATCATTGGAGTCAGTGCAGAGAGTGTTGGTGAAGGGATCCTCAAGCCAGAGATCCTTGCCTCACAGAAGGCTCCTCTTCTGTCTCCTCTCCTGCTTATATGCTTCATCAAATACTGTCTTGTTATTGTGTATCATTGAACCCATCCTCAGACCCATGACTCATAACTCAGAGTGACCCTGTGTGATAGAGTAGAACTGCCTCCAAGCTGGCAGTGAATAAGGGTGACAGAAGAATTGATGCCTGTATACTGCAGTGTTGGAGAAGCGTACTGAATATCCCACGGACTACCAAAAGAACAAACAGATGTCTTAGAAAAGGTGCAGCCAAAGTTCTCCTTGGAGGCAAAGATGAAGCTTCATCTCATATGCTTTGGGCATATGGCTCAAAGAGGTTATTTCTCAAAGAGCGATATCATGCTTGGAAAGGTAGAAGGACAGTGAAGAATACCCTCAAACAGGTCAGTTGACACACTGACTGTAGCAGTGGGCTTGAGTGTGTCATGTCAGAGTTTGTGAGGATGGCACAGGATGGAACACTTCAGATCTTTTGTTCATAGAGTTGTACTTGACAACGCCTAGCAGTCTTTAACAAAGAGCAGATCACTAAGTCTTTTCTGCCGTGGAGGAGGAGCTGGTGGGTTCAAACCAGTTATCCAGGTGGCATTCAAGCATTTAACCATTTCATCACCAGGGCTTTTTAACATTGCTTAAGTCATATTCTTTATTTTTCCTTTCTGGAGTTCATAACTGTTCCCATCCCTATGATTGCCTTTCTTGTAACCTCACTGCTATATGGATTTCTGTTCCAAGTATACAGGTGAGTTGTTTATTAATTTTATTTGCATCTTGACAATGACTAGAGATCCTTCAGTTTTGTCAGTAAGCTTTTTCCATGACAGTGTGTGTGAATGAGTTCCTTTTAGAAAGGTTTCATCAAGAGCTGCCTATGCTGTGTGGCTGAGGTCATCTCTGATAATGGAATTTTTCTAGAATACTTTTGTTGTTGGTTATGGTGGTATTTTGAGAGGTTGGGTTTTTTGCTTGTTTGGATGTGGTTTATTTGTTTTTTGCAAATGTACTCATTCAATGTGGGCTGTCATAAAGACAGAAAGTGCAGGGAATTCTTTTCTCTTTTTTTAATATTGTTTTGTATACAGTCATTCTTATGCATTGTTTCTTTCACTTACATGGTATTTTATACAGTCATTCCCTTTTATATGGTCATTCACTTTTATACATTCATTCATATACATTGCTTAATTCATATATATTTTGTTTTATATAGTCATTTCTATACATTGTGTTTTATATACTTAATTACTATTGATCTGTTATTTTTTTCACTTTGTCTCATCAAACTCCCCCCTTGCGCCTTTTCTTTGCCTTCACACACTCACTGTTGTTATTTGGTGCCATTGTGTCAAGTATGGCTCAGAATGATTCTGTGAACAACAAATCTGAACCCTGTCCTATCCTGTTCCATCCTTATCATCTTTGATACATTGAGCCCGTTGTTGGAGTTACTTTGTCCATCCATCTCGTTATGATTATTCCTTTCTTTCACCACCGTTTCACCTTTCCAAGCATGATGTCCATTTCCAAGAACTAGCCTGTCCTAACAGCATGTCCAAAGTATGTGAGACAAAGCTTCATCCTCTTTGCCTCTAGGGAGCACTCTGAATGTATTTTTCCAAGTTATATCTGTTTGTTCTTTTGATAGTCCATAAGGTATTCAGAATTCCTCTCCAGCACCACAGCTCAAAGGCATTTATTCTTCTTCTGTTATATTTATTTATTGTCCAGCTCTCGGATGCTTAGCAAGTAGTTGAAAAGACCACATGGCCTAAATAAAGCACCTTACTCTCAGAATGACATAATGGCTTCTCAGTAATTTAGAGAGGTTCCTGACTGCAGTTTTCCCCAGTACATTGTATCTCCTATCTCCTGACAGATGTCACTGAGGATGTTGATGGTGAATCTAAGTAAGTTGAAATCATACACAACTGCAATCTTTTCTCCATCTATCATGATATTTCCTATTGATCCAGTGGTGAGAATTTTTGTCTAGGTATTGAGATGTAATCCATATTTGAGTCTGTAGTCTTTTTGTTTGTGTGGTTGGTTGCTGTAGTCTTTGACCTTCTGCACCAAGAGTTTCAAGTCCTTCTCACTTTCAACAAATAAGATTGTGTCATCTGCATAATGGAGGTTATTGATTTTGTCCGATCATGATAGGAATCCACCCACTAATCTCTTCACGTTTATTTATTTTTGTCATAAATTTGTATATAACAAAATTTTGGCCAGTTCAGCAGTATTTACATGTACAGTATATTGTCACTGTGCGATCATCACTACAGTCCTTTTCCAGATGATTCCACCACCACTAACAGAAATTGCACCTAAGTAATGACTTCCCCCTTCCTACTCTCTTCTAATTAACTTTGATTTCTATATATTTGCCTACTTCAGGTGTTATCATATATTTGTCTTTTTATAACTGACTGACTTTACAAAACGTTTTCAAGGTGTATTATTTTTTCTTATGACTAAGTGATATTATAGTTATATATACACCCATACACATTGTTTTTGTCCATGTACATTTATGTTTCCACCTGTTATCTACTGGCATTAATGAACATTGATATACAGATTTCTGTTTGTGCCCCTGCTTTCAGGTCTTTTGTCTGTATTCCTAAAATTGGAATGCTGGGTCATATGGTGGTGGTAGTGGTGGTTGTCAGGTGCCATTGAGTTGACTGTGACTCAAAGCAACCCTGTGAACAATAGGTCTGAACCCTGTCCTCTGCCAGCCTCACCATCTCTGATATATTTGAGCTCATTGTAAGTCATTATGTCACTCCGTCGTGCTGAAGGTTTTCCTTCTATTTTCAGATGCATAGCAAGTAATTGAAAAGACCCTGGCTAAGATCAGGTGCACCTTAGCTGACATCACTGTTCTTTATCACTTTGGAGAGGGTCATATAGTTGTTGTTGTTGTTGTTGTTGTCGTCGTCATTGATTGCCATAAAGTCAAGCACAACTCATAGTGACCCTATGAACAAAAGGCCTGAAGCCTTTCTATAACTATCATCATTTATCAAAGTTCATAGAGTTCCCAGAGGTGGTGGTTTAGGAAGTGGATGCCATTCCTGCTTCCAAGGTCATATAGTAGCCCTGTATAAATTTTTTTAGGCTCCAGAATATTCTTCCTTTCTTTTTTAACTTTTTACTCTGATTTAAATAATTATAAAGCAAATTGGCTTTCCATTCAATCTTCATACAGATTTTGTTTTATGACATTAATTGTTGTGTTGTTATTGTTGTTAGGTACAGTTGAGTCAAGTACGACTCACAGCAACCCTATGAACAAAAGATCTGAACCCTGTTCTATCCTGTGCCATCCTCACACTTCCCAGCATACAAGAGCCCATCAAATAATATGTATGCACATATGTGTGTATATATCTATATGTATATACATATATAGATATATAGAGAGGTTTTGAGACAAAAAAAGCAGAACGTGAAAACTGAACTGAAAGCGTGTGCTCTGATTACTTGAATCTGGTCTCCTCGGCACCTGCGTTATTAAGAACTGAATATTTTTCCACTTGAATTTAGTGCTATTAGAAATTTAATATATGTGTTTTATTTATTTGATTTTTTTTTTGCATGACTGATGCAAGGTTTGACATTTTCACTCCATAAAAACTGGAAAAAAAAAAACAAGAGCCCATTGCGACAGTCGCCATATCAGACCACGTGGTTGAGGATCTTCCTCTCCTTTGCTGACCTTCCACTTTTCCCAGCATCATGTCCTTCTCCGGGGAATAGCCCCTCCTAGCAATATGCCCAAAGTATGTGAGCCAAAGCCTTATCATTCTTGTCTCCAAAGAGCACTCTGGCTGCACCCTCTCCAAGGTGTACCTGTTTGTTCTCTTGGCCATCTGTGGGATGTTCAGTGTTCTTCTCCAACACCACAGCTCAAAGCCATCAATTATTCTTCTGTCATCCTTATTCATTGTCCAGCTCTCAGATGCATAGCAAGTGATTGAAAAGACTACTGCCTGAATCAGATACACCTTAGTCCTCAAATTGACATCATTACTCCTCAAGAAATGAGGTTAGAAATAGAGTGATTGAATTTTGTGTGTACAATGATTT